AGCAGCAGACCTCCGAGTCCCTTTCCTTGATGAGCTCTGTTGACCTTACACTGTTTAATCTTTAAAATTTCGTTGTCGAAAGTTGCGTGGACGTAGCCAGCCACTGTTCGGGTTTCTCGCGACACAGCAGGTAGCGTGAAGCCGGAAGGGCATGATGCAGTTGCGAGACTCTCAATACAGTTGACGTACTTGTCATCATCGTCAACGCAAACGTTGACCAGGTTCGCGGCATTCTTCGGCTCCAAAGCCTTGTACCACTGTTCGTTCTCGTGCAGGTGAGCATGATCACCGCAGAATTCCCGCTCCATGCGTCTGATACGCTTGGAGCAGCCGGTCACCGACTGGCATACGTAGAACCTTTGTTGTCCGGATGATCGGTCCCGAAAGATATGACTTTTCTAGATTGGAAGGGCATTTACACATACACGCATACACAGAGAGAGAGAGAGAGAGAGAGACAGAGACACCCACCTCACACATCCACACATACAAACACACATGCCCAGAAGGTATACTGTTAATTTATACCTCAACTGCTCAGGGACTCTGCGTTTTCCACGACGACGTTCTCAACTCTCTTTTCGATCTGAGGATCGCTATCCTCCTGCCCCCACTCCCACAAGGCAAAGCGGATCCTGGTTGGGGCATCTGGACATGCGCTGTCCGGTGTCGGGGAAGCTCTCTTCCGCTTCCGTTCGGGTATCTTGCGATTCGCAGCTTTTAGCAGGGATCGCGGGGTTTGTCCGCTGGCGGACCTCACGTCCAACGAGGCGCCGCGCTCGATAAGACAGTTCGCCACTTCCCAGTGCTTGTTCCCGATGGCAAAGAACAAGGCCGTTTTTTGTTGTTGTCCCGGTAGTTCACCTGCAGAGCATGAAAAGAAGCGACCTGTTTGCTTGACACCCAGTTTTGTTTTTGTATGAGCTTTACTCCTACCGATTGGCAGGGACATCGACGTTATCGTTCTTGCTTAGTCTGCTGTATATCGTTTTCAAGACAAACCACCTTGTCAACTTCAGGACGGGCTTGCTTTTAAACCCGACAACCAAGACTTTGATTCCTAGCAACCCTCACACCTGGAAGCCGAAGTTCAAGAGGAACTCCACCATGGCCAGATTCCCGCAGGCTGCAGCCCAAAACAACGGTGTCTGCTGATTGTCGTCGGACTGCTCCAAGTCAACTCCCTGCTTGATGCAGAGTTGCGCCAGCAGCACACAGCCGCGGCGGCGGCGTCGAGCTGCTACGAAGAACAGCATGTTTTGGTGGAGGCTGCTGTGCAGCCAGCACATGTTGACTTTCGCCAACGCGTCTTTGGCCTCGGCGAGGTCTCCATCTCTCACCTTCTCGAAGAGACTGTCTCGCTCCTCGCCATCCGCCACAGTGACAACATCTTGGCTCATGTCTGTGCCTGTGACATGTCTGAAGCCAAAACATCTTGCATGGGAGGGTAGGTGATCAGCAGTGTGTCAACCATGATGCGCAATGCCAAATCGCAAATGTGACCATTATCCTAAACATCAACGGCATCACAACCAGCGCTATGGCAAGCATGAAAATTGTCACCATAGTCATAACAATCACCTGCATCACGATCTTCCCCCATCATTCTGCTGTCGTCATCGTCATGTCCGTCACCATATTCACGATCAGCAACATCAATATCGCCATCGCCACCATCCTTCAAAACAGTGGTATTATGTTTCGGGTGCCTTGAGAAAGGATCCTGCATGATCTTACCATTTATGGTTTACTGTATGCTAGGAACGCCACGTGCAGAAGAGGCTACAGCAGAACAAACAACAACAGTCTTCCTCTGACCCTCGGCTGTTTCTGGGATCCCGGACCATAATCCTCGCCGCACACGAAACTGGCTTTATAGCCTGATCGAAAGATTGCGGGGGAGAAATGAACTTGTGCACAGAAGACTAGACCGACGAATCTCATGTGGCCTGGAATTATTGTACATGATTTTGAGGTCGCCGCTAAGGCAACATGAGCAACCTCGCAGTAGTCAGGATACTCAGGCAACGGCGTTGGGCCTTCTGGGCAGTGGGTGAGTCCTAGCAAACATTTAAATTTCGGGGAAAAGGCAAATATGACGAGGAATGTGCAAATAAGCCTTCTGAACCCGGAACCATGTAAATCCTCATCACATACATATATGTATATATATATATATGTATAAGCTATATATAAGATGTGTAGCATATATGTATATAGATCTCTATACATATATATATATAACGCATACCAAAAAGTACATGAACATACTACAACCGGCCGGGATACCTCGACGAGATCCGTCTGCGTTAGCTGGCTCATTCTAGACCACCGTACGGGAGTAGCAAAAACGAGGAGTGTCCGTGTTGGGGTTCCAGGGTCATTATCGCATCATCAGCAGCAGCAGTACCAGTAGCACCAGCTACAGTTGCCTGCCCTCCTTGTACAACCCCATTGGGCCTTTCAAGTGGTCCTCAGGGAGATGTCAGGCCAAAAGTCATACGAAGCCAGAGGTTGAGACGTCCTTCTAGATGCTCCAACCACTTGTTTCTTAAAGACGGAACCCATTCTCATCAAAAGTAGAGGCTCCAAGAGACTCGTATCCACATTTAGTGCTTACGTGCCGTGTAGCGTGCAGCTCCTTTAGCTTGTTATAAAGGTTCCCAAATAGGGGTTTGCAAGGGTACTGGACGTACTACCCGTTACTACCCACTAGTTTCGTCCAGCATGCCTTCCGATACTTCGCGCTGCTCAAGTAGGTCTTGACAACCTCAGCACGGTGCGACAGGAAACCTAGAAAACTCTCTTCTGCCGTTTATGCCTCCCGGTAGCCTCAAGTCGAGAAGACATCTCATGACCAGTTGACTTGACGACAACCTGGTCATCCACAGGCGAGCCAGAAAGCCGACCAGCAACCAATTGCAAAGCGGTCCTTCCCGCTGCCGTCCTCCTTGAACTCGAGGTCCTGCGAAACACGCGCCCTCCAGCACATCTTGTTGTTTCGCCTTACAGTGTTGGAAACGACCATGTCGTGCCTCGTTCTCGGTGACCAAGGCAGCCAAAGCTTCGCCATCATCTGCCTAGCGAAGTCAGGTCCTAGGGCTCAGGATGTTCCGCACGTCTGCTCCCGTCCTCGCCGGCCATCGGCAAAGCTTGTCGCTGTCTATGCTTTGGTGTATTAGGCTGAAGTGAATGACCCTATGCCTGCGACCGGCAGCTTACACTTCCAAAGACTTGTGCTCAACCAACTCTGGGGTGTTGCCCAGGATTTTCTCCAAAAATGTCTGTTTGACGCCTTCCTACAACCTTTAGCTGGGCTGGCGCAGTGATGAGCCAGGCTTCAAAGGTGAAAAGGATCTAAGCCCCACTGGCAGCACCATGCATTCGTCTGAGCTGCATGCTACATCGGCAAACGCCACAGCCGCTTAGGCCTCAACCCTGAACCCGAGGCCCTATACTTTCTGAACTCGGAACTCTACACCCTAAGTCCGCGCAGCACATCCCTTTACAGCCGTTTTCTCAAGTTCGTCGCGCCATATGCCTCAGTCGCCCGGAGAGCTTGGGCAGCAGCCCGCCGGATGGCTGTGAGACCTTGTCATCCTCAAGAAGGGCTCCCCGGGGTTTGGGCTTCAGTCTTTAGGCTTTGGGATTTAGTCTTTAGGGTTTGGAGGGTTTGGTGATGCTTGAATTTCGGGCCGTGTGTGCTGGCTGTAATCTTTAAGCCGGGCAGATGGCCGAGCACCAGCAGCGTCTGCAGCGGAGAAGATCTCATATCTGCACCCTGAGCGTCGCCCTTCGACGGAAAGGTGGCTAAAGAGGCAGCTTTGCTGCTCTGAAAGGTTCACTGCCAGGGCCTTTCAGGCCGAAGCAGCAATTTCGCTGCAGCCGGACGGGACTGGGCATGGAGACTGTGGGTTCATGGTCACGGAAAAGTCCAGAACAGGCCGCAGATAGGGCCGACAACGCCGAAACTGATCATTCTACGAGGACTCTGCCAGACAAGCACTTGAAGAAAGGCATTCAAAGACGCAGTTCCGGTGACGGTCCAGTGCAGTAGCAACTAAAACCCTTTGGCTCCTGACCTACTCAGGTCTGGTAGCCAAGGGGTTCTATTCAACGCGCGGTCACGCGGCAGCACTCAAGCGCTTTGAGTTGGCTTGCAGAACGGATGTCCTGCAGCAACAGCAATTCGGCCAAAAGCTGGGGACGACGGACACAGAAGGCAACACTGCACATGTAGCGGCGGCAAGAGAAGCAAAGCCTTTGCATCTTTGGGTTGCCAATCCGACCCGTCGTGGAGCGTACAGTCGCACAAACATGTAGTTAAATGCTTATACATACTTACATACATACCTAATATGTCTAAATTTCACATACATCTGGACTCTTGGCCAGAACCAACCCCAAGGACTCAGAAGGTCAAGGCGAATCCGAGGAGCTGTGTTTGGCGGCCAAACCAATGCGATTGCCTTGGCTGGAGCACGCTCCAGCAGGGACGATGAACGACGACGACAACGACAACGACGACGACGACAGCCACAGCCACAGCCACAACATGAACGGCAGCAGCTGAAGGATCAATATCATGATCACAATGAGCGTAGATGCTGTCACCGCCATCGTCGTCATCACTGGTATGACTGGCACTCCCACACCTTTAGCAACATATACTGGCCAGCACCGCGAGCACGACGAAGCCCAGAATCGAGGAATGTTTAGAGTTCTTGCGAGTCCTTGAGTGGAGAAGTGCTCAACTACAGGAATCCCCTGTTTGGTATCGGCCCCCTCGCCCTCCCCAAGAAGGCCCTCAACCTCGCATTGACGTGCTTGCAGCTTGAGATACCGGCTGGCGTGGGCTGCCTGATGCAGGTCCACACCCAACTGGGAGCCCACGAAGCTGATATCACGGTGGAGTGCCCTGACAATGGGTCCAATGGGGCAGAGGGCTTTCGGGCGAGGCTCCTATTGTAGCCTTCGCCATCATTCGATGCTGCAGTCTTCCAGGCTGTGTTCGACTGCAGCATCAAGGTCTCTGGGGTCTGGGGATTAAGGATGAGGTGTAGGACTGTAGCTTTTTCCGGCTGGGGCACTCACGGACTGAAGAAGCATCGAACAAAAGCCGCATTCCTACCAAGATACAAACACACAGAGTTCACAGTCGCAATATTACCAGCCAACTCGCCTGCACTGGTGCATGATCGCATGGACGTCGATGCTTCGTGCTTGCCCCTTCAGCTTCGCGCATCCGTCAAGGAATTCCTGTATGCTCACCTGCAAGAGAAGCGAACTTGTTGCCGAGATACTGAAGCATGCCATGACCAAGGATCTGCATGCAGCCCGTACACACTTGTTAGTGCGGCCGTGAGTAGTAGGGTGGCTATACATAGAAGCAGCGTTAAGCCCGCATGCAAGCACATGACTTTGCCCACGCCAGGGCGTGGTGATGCACTTCAGATACAGGAGCACAAGTGCCGCAAAACCATCCCTCACGCGCTCTGAAGCCATGATGCCTGCTGGTCTTTGGAAGATCCATGGGCTGAGTTTTCCCCCTGCACACACCCTAATTCCTAGACCCTCATCCCTGCACCGGAGCCCTTTATCCCAAAATCCCAGCCCTGAACGCGAGTTTCTAGACACTCACCCGAAACTTTGAACCTCATAAACCCCCCTCGTGTTGTGCCTCGCCGGACTCATCGTCGTCGAGCAGGTGGAAGATTTGATGCGCATTGACTTCGTCAAAGCCCAGCACCTTTGGAATTCTGCAGAGGCTTTGGAGTCCAGGCGGCATTTTCTCTTTGAGGGGCGGCCGGAGCCGAGGGTAGGATTTAGTAATTGGGGCTTATAAGGCTTCGCTTTGGCTTTCTATTGCTTTCTATTCCTCCCTTAGCTGCTTCTCGTGAGTCAGAAGACCATAAGTTTAAGGGGTTTGGAGCTGGAGGTGTGGGCTGAGGTCGTAGACGTAGAGCTTTGGGAATTTCAAGGTTTCGGGTTTCGGTTTAGGGTTTAGAGGGTTTAGGTAGAGGCTGGAGAATTGGATGTTAGGACGTTAGGAAATGTTGATCTGAATTTCAGCCGGAAGCAGTTGTAGCAGTGTCCGGCGTCTGGTCTTGGTGATATCGACAGGTAATCATTACCAACTTGAGCGCTGCACCGTATCGTGCAACCAACAACATACCACAATACATCAACGATGCTCCTGCTGCACTTCTGCCAGCATTCAGCTAGGACCTAGGAGCTGAAGTGTCGTGTCTTCGAGAAACTACATTGACTACGTGGCCTCAGCTGCACCGTACAGGACGTGTAATCGACCTCCTTCCTGGACGGGGCCGAAATGAGCCAAAGGATCCCTTGAGCCACAACCTCCTGAACGCTGAAACCCACAGGCCCTGAGATCCCCAAGCCCAGACCCAAAGGCCTCAAATTCCTCAACCCCGAAGCCCAGAGATCGCTCGACCAAGCTTGCAGTCATCATTAGTAATCATTGGTAGCGCCAACAATCATCTCAAGAGGAAGGCCGGCCCCCCAACTTTGGCAGATGCTGCGCATGTCTACCGCAGGTCTTAGGCATGATCTCCGAGGGACTGCGAAGTAGGCGGCGAGTGTCTGGTCCTCTCGAAATTCTGAGTCCAGATGGCTTTCATGGGACTGCATGGGTGAATTCTTTTTCGGCATGAAACTAGGTCAGCATTAGCTGCAGCAGAAGCAGAGCCATCGACCGAGTCATCAACAACAGGAACGATGACAACGACGACAATGACGACAACACCAGCAGCTTCAGCACCAGCCAGAGGAGCAGCAGAAACAGCAGCAACAAACGCCAAACATGCAACAACAGCAGCAGCGACCACGGCACCAACACTAATAACACTAATCAAAACTAACTGTCCCATTGTAGTCAAGTAGTACTTTCAATACGGTTCAGCATTAGAATCATGATCACAGCAATTGGCAACAACGGCTACTCTTCCAGTAGCACGACAACGACGACTACTACTACGACTACGACGACGACGACGACGACTGCTACTGCTACTGCTGTGCTACTGCTGCACCTCCGCCCCTGCTGCTCCTGCTGCTCCTGCTGCTGCTGCTGCTGCTGCTGCTGCTGCTGCTGCCGCTGCTGCTGCTGCTGCTAGTAGGGCTCCTGCAGCATGATCTTGATCTCATCCAAATGGATCGCGCCGTTGCCGTCCGTGTCCAAAGCTTCGAAGAAGTCCTTGAGCGACTTCAGGAAGGAGTCCTGCACGGATCCGGAATCAGAACCATGGAACAAACTAAAACGCGTAATCGCTTGAAATAGCCACAGCAGGGATTGCAAAGTCATGGCAAGAAAACCGGCAATCGTGGCACTAGTGCTGGCAGCCATTGGGCTACCAACTAGTGGATTGAGCAAACCCTAAACTTAAAACTTACACTGCTTTCTGAACCCTGCGGCCCTACAACTCGACTTCTCCAAACTTTGAAGTGAAGCCCTAACTAAAACCTACCACTGCATGTATGTCCCAAGACTTGAAGCCCAAACCAAACCGAATGTCTTTACACTTGGCGTCCTTCAACTCGAGCTCGCGCTCGATCTGAATGTCCCGCTGGGAGTTCGTCGTCTGGATGGCCGAGTCCACGAAGACTCCTTCGCCAAAGCATTCGGAGTTAAAGACGCTCTGGGGTCTATGGGGTCGTGCGTGTGTGTGTATATATATATCGTATGCATATACATATACATATCTATATACATATATATATATATACAAGTAGATCATCTTGTCTTCCTTGATGTATTGATTTGTTCATGTCTCTGTTTGTCTATTTACACATATGGGGTCTGAGGTCTCTTAGTAATAGGATATCGGATGGATGGTGGCTTAGGTCCGTCTGCAGGAGCTTGGGGATGGTCTGCAGTATGAGTCCATCACTTGCAACCGCCGCAGTATAACGGCAACAACAGCTTGACTGCAGTGCGGGCCTAGAAGTGTCGGGGTTCGATGACAGATCCGAGTCGATCCTTGAGACCTTGACCCTGGCATTTAAGCCCGTCCTGTGATCACGTTCAGCACAGAGAAGATGGTAAACATAATGTAAAACAGGAGCATGCACGCTGACAGGATGTCGATTCTGAAGAGGAGGTCGCCTGGAAAGTCAGGTCTTTCGGACCGAGGTTTGAGGTTGTCCGGTACAATTTCACGCGCGTGCCTGTGTCTGCGTATTCTGCGTGGGTAACCGGGTAGGGGGAGTGGAGGTGGCTGCTGGGGCTTGGGACAGCTCCAGAAACCTCCATGGTGCAAGGTCAGAGTGTCCTTCTAGCATTTCTTGGGTTCCTTCGCTCCCAGTAGTTTTCCTGAGTATGGAGCACACGAAACTTGAAGGCCTACTTAGCAGCTACGTCACACAGACTGCTAAGTCAGTTTCATGGCTTGTCGGAGAGCTGGCACTCGAGAATACCGCTGAGACCTTTCCTTCCCGATGCCCGGGCCCCCGTTTCCCACAAGGATAGCAAGCAGGAAGCGGATGCAACATCGCCGTAAAACAAAGGGGTCTGAAATATCGCAACACACGGGTTTACGGTTCAAAAAGTAAGCCTCATTCTAATAGCTGCAGTCTAAGACCAGAATCCCCGAACCCTCAACCCTAAACCCAAGCCCCGAAATAGTGTGAGCCGCTTCGCTACGGCACCGGATGACTGTCATCCTTCCTCCCTGCAGATCGCTCGGGATTGCAGTTAAGGGGGACTTAATTTAATTAAGCCTGGGTGATTAGTAGCATTGAGTGCATTAGCTCTTCGTGTTGGGTATATTATGCAATAACTCTAACACGGAGCCTCAAAAATAGTATAGGTAATTATCAAGGCCCCTATATTAACCCGCACACCACCCGCCCTCAAAGCCTCCGAAGCTGACTTATTCCTACCATCGTTAGCATTAATATCAGTAGTCTTAGGGTTTAGGGTCATGAATACTCTTACTAGTTGGTACTAGCATTACTAGTTTTGCTGGTATTAGGCGCTCTTTCCCTGGGCCCCGGGCAGACGATGTGCCAGCTGACCCCCCCAAGGATCGACAGCATCAATGTATAAACCTGGCTTGGAGTTTAGGGGCTTTAGGGTGTAGAAGCTAGCTCGAACATGAGCTGATCTGTGGGGCTGCCAGGGTTTCGCATTTTAAGTCTAGGCCTTCGGCCTTTGTGGCGTTCTCCGTTCAGGGTGTAGGCAGGGCTCATAGGAGCTCAACAAAGCAGGGTTACGTGTCTCTTTCATGGAGCCTGGCTATTTTCACATGGGGTGTGCCGAATCTCACCGCGAACCACGTCGATCTGCATTGTCTTGTGCCATCTGCAAAAGGTCTTGCGGTAGCGAGCAGTAGTTGACAGAAGTAAGTCCGTCCTGCTGCGGTTTGCAGTCAAATCATGGCAGCGTCAGACCTAGCGGCATGCCCGGCTAGATTCATGGGCACATTCTGGAGCTCCGAACAACTAGTGACGCTGTCTGTCCTCGTATGCTGCATACTCTATATACTCAGATGAATCCCCAAACCCCATTCTACTCATTCAGGCCCCTCTGTTACCCATCCATCACTCCAATATAGAACCCTATAGTACCCCTAAAAGGATCCTTACGGAACCCTCTGGTACCCCTAAAAGGAACCATACATAGAACCAACCCTGTAGTACCCCGAAAAAAGGAACCCGATTTAATAGAAGCCAATTCAGAAGCTGGCTTTCTGTCATGGCACCGTGGAGCCCAGCGAGCCAAACCAGGTCTCTACGTCCTCGTAGAGCATGCGATCCACCATGCCAGCGGATTCCTGCTGGGTTTAGGGTTTTTTTAAAGGCTTACGGACTGCCTTTGAGTTTAAAGGTGTAAGGTGCAGGGTGTCGGGTGATTTTGGCAAAGGTCTTGAGGTTCATGCAGGGCTCCGCCTCTGTCACTGTGGCCCAAAGAGACAGGAAAGGCTAGGGCGGTTAGAGCACAGGCTGGCAAAGGACATCAGATTAACAACAAACTCTCCGTGCTGCTGGACGAGTCCTGTTGGAGAAGCCAATCTGCGGTGTTCATGGAAAGGCTCACTGCAAACACGTAGACAATGATACCTGTGCTGAGCGATCCGCAAAAAAAGTGATGCCCCTGCGTCCGAGTCCGGGCCGAGGGGCCGAGGAGGATCAATGCCCCGAAAAGCGACTTTAAGGAATCGATGATCCTCGGCTCAGGGTGTTTTAGGGCTTAGGAGTAATGGTCCTTGTTTAGGACGGGGCATGGGAAGGTGGGGGGCGCAAAAGGTTCCACTGGTCAAATGGCACCTCAGGGTTGTCTTGGGCCTTGCAAGACATTGCAGCCTTCATAGAGCTATGCTTTGCTTGCAGATTGAGAATGCCAAGAAGCAAATAACATGAAGTGGATACAAGAACATGCACATCTCTTACAGGATCCCTTCACAAGAGCAATTAAGAGCTACCTAGCCTATTGGCCCTTGACCCCGGGATCAAGTCTACAAATTTGACGAGGAGGTGCATCGTCCATACAGCTGCGGCATACATGGAAAAAAAACTAACCAGGCACTCAGATCTTCGAATCAAAACCCATCACAAACACTTAGGACAGGGACATATGGCGGTGTCTCAGAAAGCGGTGGCAGGTTAGGTGGTAATTGAAGGATATCTTGGACCCCCTCATTTACTAATGCTTCCATAACAATCCCCAGCACTTCAGCGCAAACCTTTCTTGGTATTATGAGTGCGCACACATCCAATTTTCAGTGCCAGGATCATCATCGCCCAGTTCCCGAGCTCTCTGAAGAATCGGAAGACTCGGAAGACGCGCATGATCCTGCAGGCAGATCGCTCTGGCCCTTGCTGGTATGGTGCAGGCAATGGGTTCGTCTCGGAGTCATCAATGTCTGGCACCTGCTTCGTATCTAAGAGCGCGGAAGGTCGAAAGTTGGTACCCAGCCGGTGCATCCCGATGCCCTCAACTAGAGTGCTCAACCTCTCAGTCTCCCTGCATGAAGCTCGTTGGTCAAGGCCCATGCTGATTCCCACTGTCCGAAAGAGCTTCAACATCTTCATGCTTGCGGCGAGGGCCGGGGAGATTTCCGCGGCGGTGTAGGTCAATATGACCTGCCAGTTCAACGGCAAGGTCTTCCGGAGATACATAGAACACGCATGGGCGAAGCTGTTTCGTGCCACAATTTGTGGCACGATTGACAATAGTCCATCACGAGAAGTTCAAAACTAACGACTGCTCCAATAGTCTAGCAGTGTTTCCTAGGGCTTACGGTTCAGCCTAAACCCAAAGCCTATACACCGGAGATTCAGACTCAGACCAATCATCTTGAAAACCACATCATCAACTCTAAAGCCAAACCCCCAGAGGCCAAAAGGACTGCGAAAGGTCTTTCAAGGTTCTTCCTTGTTGGGTTTACAAAGTCTCGCAGCGTTGTGGGCGTAGGTCCTTTAGGTCTTTGGGATTCAATGATCCCACAGTGGGCGTGAAGGTTCGAAAGCCGAAGACCGATCTCCAGTTTGTTCAGCGAGGTTTAATAAGGTTTAGGGCTGCAACCTGACAGACAAGCTGTGGCAAATCGACAGATGCGGTTCCCTGACTCCGAAGTGAGAAAATCGAAACCACAATGTCTCCGCTGAGGCTGCGGCATCCAGGACCGACGACACCACCAGGAATGAATCGAACAAGTTCCAGCCTTCGGCTGAAAGCGTAAAGGTCCCCGAAGCTGCTTTCCGGATGTCATTAGATCATGGATCCTATGATTGTAATGACTGGGCTGGTGTGGCACATGTCAGGGCAGACCGGTGTCACTTTTGACCACCTGAGCAGAGGTGAAGCAAATGCAACTGAATCGCACAAGATCAAAGATCACTCACATCAATACGCAACCAGCTTTACATCCAACACCTTCTAGATTCAAGAAGCTCTGCTCCGATGTGCAGGTGAACCAGGGTCGTTCCCGGAATACCTGTTTGTTCTTAGCCGAGGGACTGTAACGTCGGCACTCCATGCTACATTCATCGCCAAGATTCTTGGCGATGAATGTAGCATGGAGCGCCGACGTTACAGTCGCTCGGCAGGGTGACACTTTCAAACGATAGCTCACTTCGTACAATTCTGCATTTCCAACCAATGCATCTTCTTGTGGCCGCATGGGCCGGCTCCACACGAACAGGGTGGAAACTGTGAACGTCGTGAGGAGCACACGTTGAAGCCGGCTCTAGCGTAACACTTCTTGGCAGGCTCGTTGCTGCCCAGGACGCACTTGCGGGCACGCTCCTCCGCGGCCTGAAGCAGCAGACCTCCGAGTCCCTTTCC